GTGAGTGGGACATCCGACTGCAGCGCCACATGCACAAGAGATGAAGAAACTGCTTTTTATTATGAAGAGAAACAGGAGCAGGAAGAAGAAACGGAAAGATACTTGTGATGCTTTTATCTCACGCTGGTCCAAGCTAACGCCTGCGGGCGGAGGGGGATTTCATGTGGTTCTCTGCTTTGATATGAAAATAAAATAAAATATCTAGCTTTAGCACAATAAAGCAGTTAGTCTAAAATCTCTAGCTTTAGCATGATTAAGAAGCTAGTATAAAATCTCTCTTCTGAAGCTCTGGACCATAAACCAGGATGACGGGGCTGTCTTACTCTCACACATCTGGAAGTTACTGATGCTACTGATGTAGGAAACAAGATAAATGAACAGAGGTCTATACTAAAATCTCTACTAAATAAAATACAAATACAATCCCTAGCTTTAGCATAAGAGGGAAGCAATCTACAAACTACAACTCTTGCAGAATGAAGCAAGAATGAAGTGTAAAATCTCTAACTCGTATGAAAATGTCTACCTTTGGCATAATAAAGAAGTACTGTGCATTCTAGTGTAAGACAGTAGTGTGTTTACATCTGTACATGTTGCAGCGTGAGCGACAGTCACCCATGTGCTTTCATATTTCACAGAATCCTGCTTTTCTAAACTTACAAAATACCACAAAAATCTGTGATAATCAGTAGGTATCGTTCCCATGTTATTTGACCACTTCCATCTGTGGAATACGTAACATACACTGCAAAAAGAGATGGAAAAAAGGTCAAAAATGGCTCAAATTAGGCAAAATGTGGTGGGAAAAAAAATTATTAAAATGTGTCTTGTTAAGCTGTATGTATTAAGACAACAATGAACTAATGAAGATGACACAATAAAGTATAAAAAAAACAACAATGGCAAAATGAATCTTAGTTTGAGCACGTTCTGACTGAGCCTAAAAACAAGATTTGCCAAAAGGACAAAACAAAATCATCTTGTTTTAAAAAGATGCAGAAACGTTTCCATTGGACTTAGAAAGTAAAGTAAGTCTTTGTCCCATCTGAGAATCTTGTTTTAACACAGTCAGAACGTGTCAGGCTAAGATAAAAATCACTCAATTCAAGCAATTTACCTCATATTTTAGAATATTTTCCCACTACTTACAAGTCCCGTATCCTCCTCCTCCGTCACATCCATGTCCAGAGGAAGTTGTGTCCTTCCCACTCAGTGCCACCGTCGAGACAAGCACAGAAACAAGGCCATCCATCATATAGTTTTTACGGATACATAGTTTGTGCCCATCAGATCGACTTAGTGCTGAGTCTTGCACTTGCCCAAAGCACTCTGGCTGCCTCCTCCTCCCCCCGGTGTGGGAGGAGAGGGGGAGTAGAGGGGGAGGTGAGGGGGGAGCAGAGGGAGTCGCCTTGATAGGTCACTGCACACGTCATGTCACCACCTCCTGCAGAGGCAGCTTAAGAGCCTGTCCCGGTGTCAGCCTTTACCTGAGAGCGGGAAAAAGCTCAATATGCAAAGTTCCTTCCTGCCACTTGAAAGAGTTTTAAATCTTTTTCTTTCCGGAATAGCTGCTGCCACCGCTGTAAAGATGGAGACGCAAATCCATAAAGTATTCATCTAAAAGCTCGAAAATGAGAAGTTGTCATGTGTCTGGGCGAGAAGAGAGAGGTGTGTGTTTGTGTGCGACGGTTCAGGCTGAAGTGCTATCAAAGTGCTATCAAAGTGCTATCAAAGTGAGACAGTCAAAGGGAATAACAATAACAGTACTCAGTAATAGTACTCAGTGACAGTACTCAGTAACAGTACTCTGTAACAGTACTCAGTGACAGTACTCAGTAACAGTACTCTGTAACAGTACTCAGAGACAGTACTCAGTAACAGTACTCTGTAAAAGTACTCTGTAACAGTACTCAGTAATAGTACTCAGTAACAGTACTCTGTAGCAGTACTCAGTGACAGTACTCAGTAACAGTACTCTGTAACAGTACTCAGTAACAGTACTCAGTAACAGTACTCAGTAATAGTACTCTGTAACAGTACTCAGTGACAGTACTCAGTAACAGTACTCTGTAACAGTACTCAGTGACAGTACTCAGTGATAGTACTCAGTGACAGTACTCTGTAACAGTACTCTGTAACAGTACTCAGTGACAGTACTCTGTAACAGTACTCAGTGACAGTACTCAGTGATAGTACTCAGTGACAGTACTCTGTAACAGTACTCTGTAACAGTACTCAGAGACAGTACTCAGTAACAGTACTCTGTAACAGTACTCAGTGACAGTACTCTGTAACAGTACTCAGTGACAGTACTCTGTAAAAGTACTCTGTAACAGTACTCAGTAATAGTACTCAGTAACAGTACTCTGTAGCAGTACTCAGTGACAGTACTCAGTAACAGTACTCTGTAACAGTACTCAGTAACAGTACTCAGTAACAGTACTCAGTAATAGTACTCTGTAACAGTACTCAGTGACAGTACTCAGTAACAGTACTCTGTAACAGTACTCAGTGACAGTACTCAGTGATAGTACTCAGTGACAGTACTCTGTAACAGTACTCTGTAACAGTACTCAGTGACAGTACTCTGTAACAGTACTCAGTAACAGTACTCAGTGACAGTACTCAGTGACAGTACTCAGTGACAGTACTCTGTAACAGTACTCAGTGACAGTACTCAATGATAGTACTCAGTGACAGTACTCTGTAACAGTACTCTGTAACAGTACTCAGTGACAGTACTCTGTAACAGTACTCAGTAACAGTACTCATTAATAGTACTCATTAACAGTACTCAGTAACAGTACTCAGTAACAGTACTCAGTGACAGTACTCAGTAACAGTACTCTGTAACAGTACTCAGTGACAGTACTCAGTGATAGTACTCAGTGACAGTACTCTGTAACAGTACTCTGTAACAGTACTCAGTGACAGTACTCTGTAACAGTACTCTGTAACAGTACTCAGTAATAGTACTCAGTGACAGTACTCAGTAACAGTACTCTGTAACAGTACTCAGTGACAGTACTCAGTGATAGTACTCAGTGACAGTACTCTGTAACAGTACTCTGTAACAGTACTCAGTGACAGTACTCAGTAACAGTACTCAGTAACAGTACTCAGTAATAGTACTCAGTAACAGTACTCAGTAACAGTACTCAGTAACAGTACTCAGTGACAGTACTCAGTAATAATACTCTGTAATAGTACTTTGTTGGTCCCAGTGCACCACAGTCTAATAATGTTTGTTCATTTGTTTCATTTAAAAAGGCAGTGACGCTGAAATCACTTATTTTTCACGTAATGCTCTTTCATCTTTTTAGGCCAGTTTATTTGTATAGCACAATACACGACGCAGCTCAAAGGTCTGAACCAAACAAGATGGAAACAGTCACACAGTCGTCAGGAGGAGTCAAAGTCACCTCCATCCTGGACAACACCTCCCACTGGACTGAGGAGGAGCTCCTTCAGTGCAAGAAGGAGCAGGGCCTTTATCCCCACCACTGTCAGACTGTACAATAAGTCACTTTAAGTCATTAGGATTAAAGAACCAGCTGCTATTGCCACTGCTTTATTGTACATAATTAAATCCTGAACAGACTCTATATATTTTTAACCTTTAACAAGTTTCACACTTCTGTCTGAGAGATTATCTTTGTGCCAAGTGTGACATGTGAATTTCTCCAGTGCGAGATCCATAAAGTTTATCTTATCTTAGTATCATTATCCACAATTAAATCCTTCAACATAAAACAACACACAAGCTCAGGATTGAATATTCTCTGCGTCTACACGACTCCTGCTGCTGCCAGAGTTTCTGTCTCTTGTGTTGATTGTGGAAAGAAACAAACAGTCTTTTATTTGCCCAGAAAAGTCCCAAAGCCTGAATCCTGGTGCCATCCGAGCCTGCTGGTCCGAGGAGGCCGTACAGCATCAGTGTCTCTGGCCCCGGTCCAGTGGTGAGGCCCCTGGAGGAGGCCCCTGGAGGAGGCCCCTGGAGGAGGCCTGGCAGCTCCTCCAGCCCGGTTCTGAGAGAGGCACAGAGTTAATGATGAGAGGTGTCCCCACGGCCGAGAATCTGGGCACACAGGATCACCCCCCACCCCCCCACCCCGAGAGGAGCCTGTCTTTGGACTCCTTTCTGAGGCTTCCATGGTTTTGGCGAGCAGTGTCTCGAGTGGGGACTGGGATCAAAATGTAAAAATTGCACAAGACGATTCCATTTTCTGTGTTTATTTTTGGGGTTTCCTCCGATGGCAACACTGTAAAAAAAACCTTTAATCCAATCCAATGTATTTTTGTATAGGCCTCAATCAAAGCCGTCGATTCGCCAACAGCAGATCAGAGAATCAAACACACAGAGAGACCAATACATCCATGAATGTTGCTGAATGCACTGGAAAAAATGATAAATGATGAGGTGATAAATGCTTGAATTGAGTGGTTTTTATTATTATTATTCATCTTTATTAAGGACACAGTACGATGCGGTTCACAGTTTAAAGAAAAGATACAAAACGTACAGAATATAGCAGAGATTTTTGTCCTAATCTGAGTTCATTAAGACTGTGTTAAAACCAGATTCTCCAATGGGACAAAGTCATTTAGGTCTATTTCAAGAACTGTTGTTTTATTTTCTCATTCCAGGGAGACATTTCTGTATCTTTTCAAAACAAGTTCATTTTTCTTTGTCCCGTTGGAGAATCTTGTTTTAAGGCTCAGTCAGAATGTGCTCAGATTGAGACACATTTAGCCAAATTTGAACAATTTTTGACTTACTCATCACTTCTTGCAGTGTGTCCTGGATCGTCGAGGGATGCACCGATACCACTTTTATTCAAAACCGATACGAGTACTTTTATTTGAGTACTTGCCGATCCCGAGTACAGATTCGAGTACTGCACATAGACTGTAAACATCACTGCTTGGTGTTGTCTCTGGGAATCCATACAACTACTACAACTGACATTTAAACTGTTTTGTTTCTCATTTCAACAGTC